AAAAATCTTCTTTTAGTGAAAGTACTAAACTAAGGTTATGGTAGAGTTAAATTTTTAGGGAATAGTAAAGAAAGCACATACACAGGCATATACACAGGAGATAAAAAGTAACATTAAGATTTAACTGTAAAGAAATGAAACCATAAAAATAGTAGCAGAAAATATATATTTGTTATTTGATTAAGTCAGGAATATCCTTCCAGGATTGTAAGAAAAGGAAGTAACCCAAATTAAAAGATCAACAGATTTAAATAAGTAAAATTATATAACTTCTTTTCATTAAAATAGCTCACATAAAATTAAAAGGCAAATAATGAATTGGGAAAACTGTTTGTAATGCATGACAGCAAAGAGTAACATTTAATGAAGTTTTATTTACATTACGTAAGATTTTAGGTAGGATATAGAAACTTATGTCCAAAAGAATTAATCATCTGGCAATGAAAAATACCTAGAGAAGAGTTTTTTGTTTTGGTATGTGCAAGATTCTGAAGTAACTGCAAAATTCCAGAGAATTACAGACAGGAAGATGGAGCTTTTAAAACTGTTCAAAGATCTTCTTCCGAAAGAGTGGATAGAGCGTATGCTATATACTCTTTCCAGTACAAGTCCCTGGAAGTCATATATTGTAAAATACGCAAATCTACTCTTAGAAATAAAAAAAGAGGACCTTCAATGAAATCTATGGCTCACTCGGGAGAGTGCGGTGCTGATAACACCAAGGCCCCGGGTTCAGATCCTATATAGGGATGGCCGGTTGGCTCACTAGCTGAGTGTGGTGTTGACAACACCAAGCCAAGGGTTGAGATCCTCTTACCGGTCATCTTAAAAAAAAAAAAAAAGAAATCTATGAATATTGAAAAATAGGTAAGATTTGAACCGAAACCATATGCAAAAATCAACTCCAAAATGGATTAAAGACTTAAGTATAAGACCTAACACTGTAAAACTTCTAGAAGAAATCACAGGAGAATTGCTCCAGGACACAGAATTAAGCAAAGATTTTATGAATAAGACCTCAAAAGCACAAGCCGCAAAAGTGAAAATAAATAAATGGGATTACATTAAACTAAAATGCTTCAGCACAGCAAAAGAAATAATCAACAGAGAGAAAAGAAAACACACAGAATGGGAGAAAATATTTGCAAGCTATGTATGCAACAGGAGGATAATTTCCAGAATATTTAAGGAACTCAAACAACTCAATAATAAGAAACCAAATAACCCAATTAAAAAATGTGCAAGAGAGCTCTATAGATATTTCTTAAAAGAAGATATACAAATGGCCACCAAGTATATGAGAGGATTTTCTCAACAAGACAAAAAAGCATTGATAATGTTAATAATTTATGAAAAAAATAAATTTGAGTATGTTAAATGGAAAATTATTTGTATAATGAAAAAAGCCAGAAACAAAGTGAAAAATAAAATGTATAGATTGGGAGGTAACATTTGAAATATATATAGGCAAGAAAGGATGGTATCCTGAATCTATAAAAAGTTACCACAAGTCAGTAAGAAAATGATAAAATAGGCAATTCAAAGATGAAGAGATCTGAATGGCCAAGAAAAGAAAGAACAGATACTTAAGCTCACTTTTTCAAAGGGAAATATAAATTAAATCATAATCAGGATAGATTTAAACTACGATTAAACTATTCAGATTAATCAGATTGACAAAAATTAAAAAGTCTGACAAACCTAGATATTGGAGAGTGTGCAGAGTAATGGGAAATCTTAACTCTATTGGTGTTACGATGATGGGAAGGAGTAATTTGGCAAAATCTAGCAAATATGAAGTTGCTTACTTTATGATCCAGCAGTTTCACTCTTAGATACATATTCAGATAAACTCTCAACACCTGTGCACAAGAAATCACTACAAAAATTCATGGTAACACTGTTTCTAATAGCAAACATGGAAAGAACCTAATTGGCCCTAAGTTAGGGAATGGGTAAAAGGTGATTTATTTCTATGGCAGAATACTATACAGCAGGTAGAATGAATAAAATAGTGTATGTTTATCAATTTAGATAAATTAAATAATACATTACTGAGTCAAAAAAGCAAATAGCAGAAGTATACGTAAGTACAGGCTCATGTTTTACTTTGTGTTTTTAAATTTCCATATATGGTATATATACACAAGCATACATACGTATACAAATGTATATCATTTACGGTAATTTAAAAACACAAAACAATTGCTGGCCATAATGCAGTATACTGGGACAACAAAAACAATCTATCTAATATAAAGCCTTTATGACTAGACATTTAAAAACATACTACTAAATAAAAGGAAATTACAAATGTAATTGAATAAGGAAATTAATTAATATAAACAATATGATCATTTCAATGGAGAACAAAAAGGTATTTGATAGTTTAGTAATTTTTCATGATTAAAAAAAGTCATAAGCTTGGAACAGAAGGAGCTATTTTAATTTAATAAAGGGCATCTTCAAAAAACCTACAGCAGTCTTACTTGGCATAACATTAAAAGTATTTCTGCTATTATCTAAAAATGATCCTCAGACCATGCACCATCATGATTGTAACTATATTAATCATCCTTAAACTTATTTCAAACTTCATTTAATCACAATAAAAGTCCCAACAGAAGCTTTTCTGAAACTCGAAGGTATCTCAAAATGTATATCATTTCAAAAATGATATTTTGAAGAACAAAGAGGGTGATTAGCCATATGAGATATATAAAAATATTATGAAACAATAATTATTATAAGTGTCATATTAATATAGACAAATCAATGGAAGAATCAAGATTCTAGAAATGAATCTTTGTAAATATAGAATTTAGTACAGCACTGCATAATGATGTTTCAGTCAACAATGGACTGCATATATGAGAGTGGTCCTGTAAGATGATACTGGCTATACCATGTGGCCCAGGTGTGTAGTAGGCTACACCATCTAGGTTTCTGTAAGCACGCTCTTTGATAGTTGCATAACTACAAAATCACCTAAAAACACATTTCTCAGAATGTATCCTTGTCGTTAAGCAAAGCATGACTGTATATGACACTGATGCCTTTTCAATCAATGGAAAAAGGATAAAGTATTTAATACATGGTAATGATTATTTGGCTACTTATTTGGAAAAAATGTAGTTAGATTTTTTCCCTCAAATCTCTTAGAAAACTAAATTTCAAATGGATAAAAAGCAAAAATGTAAAAGTCTAAAGCATAGGAATTATTAGAGAAAATATAGGAGTCTAAATTTTGACTTCGAAATAGGCATTTCTTAATAATATCTGCAAATCCAAAACAATAAAAGGACACTTTTGTAGATTTTCTAGTGTAGAATTAAAATTGTGGGTACTGAAAAAGATGCTATGGGCATAGTCAAAGAAAATCGATTGACTTGGAAAATATCTGAATATATTTTTTTAAAAAATTTCTGTACATCCAACTAAAAACCTTCTGCATAGTAAAGGAAACAATCAACAGAGTGAAAAGATAACCTATGGAATGGGAGAAAATACTTGCAACTAGTACAGCTCCAGGCTGTGATTTGTGAAACTCAGCCTTCACACATATCCGATATTTCTGTTCTGGACTCATGTGCCTTGTTACGGTCTGAGCTAGCTGCAAGGTGACTGCTGCAATAATTCATTTGTGCTAGGTAAATTAAAGCTTTATCGTTATTTGGAAAACCTTGATATTGGATTAAAAATTCATTAATTTCATTGCAAGAAATTTCAACATTACGTTTGTCAATTGAAAAATTAAAAAGTTAAAATTCTTAAAAATCATATCAGCTGTAAATTTTTAATAATCTATATGGGTGAGCAAAGTGCCTCATTGAACAGGACCATCAACAATTTTAGAAATTCGAGAATTGAGAATCTAAAAAAAAATCATCATTAAAGGTTTTCATAATATATCACAAAAATTTCAAGCATAAAATGGTGTTACATCTAGGAGAGCAAGCTCAAGTTTCTCATCAAAATGTTTGCAAAGATTTTGTTTGAAAGTTTTATACAAATTCAATATTTAGCATTATCCTTAACATTTTATGATTTATTTTCTTTTAATTTTATAAAGTAAATGAAATATAATGAATTATTTTCTGTTTAATCTTTCATTTACTCCAGAAAGTTGTGCAACTATTACCAATTCTCTTGGTACCATGACATCAGAGGGGGAAGCGTTGCCCCAGAGAAACAGCAGTGCATGAGCACAAGGCTCATGGTCATTGCACCACTCCCTGTAATTGAAAAAATAATCAGAAACACTTTGAGTGTTCACTAAAGTGAAATGCGGCAGTTAAAAGAATGAGGTCTTTTAGACCTACTGTGAAATCAAAATTAGGATGTGGCATTTTACTAATGCTGGTAAAATCTATACAAAACCATATAATATATTTTCTCAATGTAAATGAATGCATAGAAAATGGAGGGAAACCCACACCAAACTGCTGACTGTGGTTACTTCTGAGCAGGAGACAAGGTTTTGGGGGTAGTGGTGATATGAAGCATGATTGTTAAATCTGTGATTGTTTCATTTTTCTTTCTTTTTTGGGGGTGGGGGTGGTGGCTGGCCAGTACTGGATCCGAACCAGTGATCTTGGTGTTATAAGGCTGTGCTCTAACCAGCTGAGCTAACTGTTCAGCCCCATTTTTTACAAATAGATTATATTAATGTATTTCTTACATAATTAAAATTTAACTCAAAATGTCTCCCAAAACCCCTGCTAGAATCAAATTTGATACAATCTGACAGTACAGTGATCTTAATTTTCTTTTGAAAACTTTTAAAAATTCACAAGTTTTGTATAAGGAGCATGACCAGAAGAACACTAATTTCTACATATTCTATGAAAGTGATTATACGTGGAGGCTTCATGATGACCCTTTTGTACATAGCAGATTAGTTTTTTTTCCAAAAAACAAACAAATCAAGTATATCTTTCCCCATAGATTGTGATTAAAACTTTACGAATGCTACCAAAATTTTTCAGAAATGGATTTATCTGCTAAGTTGATCAGGATTGAAGAGCCAGAATATGCAAAAAATCCCTGGAGAAGGGCTTCAGCAACCTGTGAAGCATTAGGAAATTCAGCGTCCAAAGCATTCTCAAACCTAGCCAGGTTCTCCTTTTTCCCAGTCACCAACGGTGCAATCCCAGTTATGGAGATGAAACAAAGAACAGCCATCTTCACCAAAGTACTGATAGTCTGAAACCAAGCCACTGTTACCATCCCTTGAGCATTTAGAATTCCCAGTGACCACAACATAGTCAAAGCTAGACATTTCTTCGGTAGCTCTGGAGCTGGGCATCCGGCATAGAAAGGCCGAATTATATAGCTAGATATTAACAAGTTTAGAGCACCTATTCCTAAAGAAAAAGCAAATAATTTGATCCAAAGACTGAGGAAAGCAACAGAAGATCCAAGAGATCTTTTGAGGAAATAATAAGGTGCTCCACTTCTAGGGAAGGTGGTCCCTAGCTCTGCATGACAGAGAGCTGTGATCATATTCAGCAAGGCACAAGCAGCCCAAATACTCAGGGAGACAGGTATGTTCAGTGAGGAGTATTTCAACACCCCTTTAAGAGACACAAAGATTCCTGACCCTATCATGATACTAAGCAAGAAAATGTTTCCATGGAAGAATCCTATTTCTCTCGAGAGTTGCATGCTTTTTTGCCTTTTCCCATTTTTTTAAAAATACCGCAAAATAATTTCAAAATGTTATAGTGATTGCCAGTTTTTATACATTTCCCCTTTGATTCTGCAACATGCTCTCTT